CCTTATCTCCATCTAAAGTTTTATCTATTCTTAATGGTCAAATCCATTTTAATAATGATGATATTATTTATCTTTCTTCTTTCAATTTCCCTTTCTTAAAACAACCTTTTCAAATTGGAAGTCCTCATCACTCTACTTCTTCTTTATTAATTTAACTTCTCTTTTATTTTCTTTCTTAATTTTACTTGTTTTTTTTTCTTTTTTTCTTCTTTCTTTATTATTGATATCTTCATCTTTCTTATTATTCAATCTCTTCAAAAAACATTAATACTTATTCTTTCTTATTTCTTTTTTTTTATTTGTATATTTCATTCACTTTATACTACATTTATATTTCATCAATCTTTTCATTCTATCTATTACTCTCATCATTTTTATAACACACTCTTAAACTATTACTACCTCTATTGTTTCTATTATCTTTTCTGTTATACTTTCCTGAGAGAAAATAATTCCATCAACTAAATAGATGAACTCCAATCAATCTTCACATAAAAACTTATCTCATTCAATAAAACATATTCTAAAAGTGAATAAACTCTGCCATAACCAATAAAAGTTTTAATCATCGTTAATTATCTTGTTAATACATAACTATCTTCTCTATTCAAAAATAATTTGATATTAATTCTAAAACTAACACATCACTTGTTAATCAAATGATTAGAATCAATAATGCAAATTATGTTAAACTCACTTTATTATTTAAAATATTATATAAACATTATTTGTTCTTCATATCAAAAACCATTCATCATATATAACCTGTTCAAAGCACATTAATTCTAATAATAATCCCTTTGATCAAAAAATCTATCAAAAATTAATTATGAAACTCATTACCAATCTTCATTTAAACAAAATTGATTTATTATTAATTGACTTCTATTCTTTGTATTATTAGAATTAAAAGTTGTTGGTGTAAATGCCACCAACTAAACACCTTCAAGAAGAGCGACTTGGTCCTCTTTCCTTAGTAAACTTATTGTTATATTGGTTTAAGTGCAAAGACTAGTATTTTGTACTATCAAAAATAAACAAAAACTCATCCCAAAAAAGTGAAACTAAAGTCATTGTAATTAAGAAGATAATTTAAAATATGGAAAAATAACTTAGACTTGATTTGTCGGAGAATGTGCTAAAGAATCTTCATGGACTTCAGTTAATAATTCACCCTCTTGATCTGGTTGTTCATCATCGACCTCTGGTGATGCTTTATCGTATTGATGATATTCATTAACGAGATCCATAAGATCAGCAGTAGCTTCACTAAACTCACTCTCTTCCATACCTTCTTCTGTGTATAAATGTAAGAAAGCTTTTCTCTTGAACATAGACAAAAATTGAGAATTTACTCTTTGGAATAAATCCATAATAGAAGTAGAATTTCCGATAAATGTTCCTGACAAATTTAATCCTTTTGATGGAATATCACAAACAGCTAATTGCATGTTATTTGGAATCCATGGAACAAAAGCGTCAGGATTCTTTTCTCTTATTTTGTATAATTGTTCTTCTACGTCATGAGTTGATACTTTTCCTCTCATAATACATGATGCAGTTAAATATTTTCCACTAGCTGGATCTAGATCCACCATCATATTCTTTCTATCAAACAATTGTTGAATAATTTCTTGTACACTTAAGCTTTCATATTGCATTGAAAGGGCACTTGAAACTGGAGCAATAGATGATGAGAAAAAGTGTAATCTTGGATATGGAATCATATTAACAGTTAATTTCTTTAAGTCTTGATTTAATTGACCTGGGAATCTCAATGAACAAGTAATTCCAGACATAACTGAAGATATTAAAGAATTTAATGATTCATATGATGGTTTTGGTTCTTTCATAATGTCTGAAGCAATTTTAAATAAGGCCTCATTGTCAAAACAAAAAGTGACTCCAGAAGATTCAAGTAATTTGTGAACTGACAATGTACAATTATATGGCTCTACAACAGTTTCACTAACAATTGGTGATGGAACTACTGAGAAGGTTGAAATAACCTTTTCAAAAAATTCATCTTTTAATTTACTTAATAATAACGTTCCAAGACCAGATCCTGTTCCTCCTCCAAGTGAATGAGTAACTTGGAATCCTTGAAGACATTCACAAGCCTCTGCTTCTTTTCTCACACTTTCCATAATAGTTTCACAAATTTCAGTTCCTTCAGTATAATGACCTTTAGCCCAATTATTTCCAGCCCCACCATGACCAAAAATAAATGAGTCTGGTTTAAAGAAATGTCCCATTTTACCAGACCTAATAGTGTCAAGAGTACCTGGTTCTAAATCGACATTGATTGATCTTGGGACATATCTTTTAGTAGAACTCTCACTAAAATAAACGTTTAGTCTTTGTTGTTGTAATTTATTTCCATTAAATATACCATCTGGAGATAATCCATGTTCTTGTCCAATAATATCCCAAAACTTTTCTCCAACTTGATTTCCACATTGCCCGATCTGGAGGCAAATGATTTCTCTCATAATTTCTTTGATTATTGAGTTTCAGTATTTCTTTTTTAATCTTTTTTTCTTGAAAACCCTCAAACAGAACTCTTTATTTTCCTTTTTCATCGTTATTTACTCTTCTTATTTTTATAGTATTTTACTATTTTTTGTTATTAATTTACTGTAAATAAAGAAATGAGATTATGAGTTTTTAGAATTTAGATTTGATAGGAGATTTTACTCACTTTCTTTTAAGATAACAAAATAATAAAAAGACAGACAAAAGAAATTCACAATGTTATGTTCTGTCAACGAGGAGAAAAGAAAAATAACTAGAAAAATGAGAGAAGTGAATTTAGACAAAGACGAATTCATAACCCTTAGCTTTTAATGCATCACCAAGAGCTTGTTTATGATTTTTATCAGCAACCTCTACTGAAAATCTGATAGTACACATTCCGATACCTACATTCTTTTTAACTTGGAAATCATATAATTGGGCTTTTTGTTCTGCAATAATACTAACTAATTCATTGAGATTGATTGGTGAATCTGGAGCAGTAACTTCTAATTTAAGTGAACGTTCACAGTTAATTAATCCAAGATCAATAACAGTATTTAATAGTCTCATATTAACATTACCACCAGAAACAATAACTGCAACCTTTGAACCTTTCTCAATTGGAAGTTTTTTGGAAAGGAGACCAGCCAAAGCAACAGCCCCAGCTCCTTCAATAATAACTTTACATCGTTCCATTAATAACATCATAGCTCTAGTAATTTGAGTTTCATTAACAGTAATAATATCATCAACATAAGACTCAATCATGTGAAGAGTTAAATTTCCAATAGTATTAACAACATCAGTTAATTCATTATCTTCATTTTGATGAGT